GTACCAGCTGATTTAATCTGTTTGCTTCAATGTAAACTTGAAAGAAAAGAGTTGTTTATGATGCTGTTATGAACTCACACTAAATCAGTTTGGAACAAAAACTGTTTTTATTATTTAAAAAAGTGAAACAAAAGGTATTTGAATGTATTTTCTCTTTTTGTTCCCCACTGATGACAGATCTAGAGGGGGATGACGTTTGGCAGCTGAGGACAGGACTGTGGGAGAGGCAGGTCCCAGCAGGATCCCCTGGGTGCCCATATCGGTCCCAGCCAGCCTCGGGCCCCGCCTCAGGGCCCCTCATTGTTCTGCAGGGACGCTGTTTAATGCTCCATAATGAGGCYCAGAAAGCACCCTGGTGGCACGATGCCGGTGACTTTAGTGTGTGAGTCCACCTCATGAAAACACACCTCAGCTCTGTGGGTCCTGTTTAACTGATTCTTTACCAAAAGTTAAAAACAACAAAACATCCACATGTAGCTTAGATGCACAAACATTTGGTTAAAAATAAAATATATTTTTTGCATCAGGAATAATAAAAACGTTACTGCTGCTTAATCTGTCACAATTTGTGAGGAAAACAAAAACTTTTCAGGATCATTTCCTTCTAAAACATCTAAACACTTTAGGAACAACCATAACAATGAAGTGAAATCAGCTGTGACTTAGTAAATACTGGTTCTGTTGGTGATGCAGCCATTTCAGTCCACAAGATTCTGAACTCATGTCAAGTCAGTGAGACTTTGGATTTGGAAAATGTATTTTTTTCACCCTGTTTTTGCAAAATTCATCACACACATTTCCTGACTGAGCTACATGTTTTGATGTTCTGCACATGGTTCTTCAAAAACGTTGACAGAAACAGAAGAATRATCTAATTAGGATGAGCTTATACTTTAATAAAGTGACACAATGATGAACTTCTTGGATTCAGTTCTTAGAAAAGACTCTGAGCAGATAGTTTTGTGCTGACATAACCTATTCAGTCCAGTTCAATTCAATTTGATTCAATTATTATTTATATTTATTTAACCAGGCAGGTCCTGTTGAGATCTCTTTTTCAAGGGCGGCCTGGGCCTGAAGGAAACCTATTGTAGGTTTTTGTGCTGTGGGGGAAACCGGAGTACCCATAGAAAACCCACACGAGCACGAGGACAACACATAAACTCCACACAGAAAGACCCCAGATCCAAACCAGGGATCGAACCCAGGACCTCCTTGCTGTGAGGCATTGGTGCTAACCACTGAGCTGTCGTGCTGCCAATTCTATTCATCCATCCATCCATTTTCTTCCACCTATCCGGGGTCGGGTCGCGGGGGCTGCAGCTTCAGAAGGGAG